TACCTACACTCATACCACAGTGTGTGGTGGGGAGCATAACAGGCCTGAATTAATGCACGAACTCTTCATGCCTGTATGTGAAGTTGCTCAGGAATAAAGTAGCCCAGGTTCACTGTATTTTAATTTTCAGAGGTTCTGGTAACATTCCCTGCATCCTGCTGCTTTGTGCTGGGAAATGAGAACCAAGGCAGGACCTGAAATCCAGTTCTACCTCGCAGAAGTTATTGAGGGACTTAGTATAATGTAGCTCCACAGTGGTTCACCTATATTAGGAACCTACCTGTTGATGTTGAGCATAAACACCATGTCAGCTCTTTTTTCCTTTTTCTAACAAAGAAAAGCTTGTGCAAGCACTGTTGACAGAAGGAGCCTGACGGAGCAGATGTGTTGGTTGTTGTTGGCTGTACAAGTGGAGACTCAGCAGGGGACATTTACTGTGGCATCACTTTCCTAAGAGCAATTTGTTCAAGGGCATTTTTCAGAGGAAAGAAGTCTCTGCTGAGAATTATTCCCCTTTCCATGGGGGGCTCCTGCAGCTTGAGCTCCACCTTTTCCAAGCTTCAGGAGAAGAAATTTCCATGGTTCAGTCCAGTCTTCAGCTCTGGTCACATCTGTATGTGGCACCCTCAGCCCAGCTTAGCTCATCACAATGATCCCAGCACCTGGGAAGTTAAAATTTAGACAACTCTCTTCCCTACATACTCTCAGCATGAGAGCTTTGACCTGGCAAGCTGCTGTCCAGGACTAGAGAAACAGTAGTTTTCCTTCATTTCCTTCATTCATAACCTTTGAAATTAATAACTCAGGCAGAAAACTGGTATTTCTAATGGTGTAAAAGATACAGAAAAGGAGAGAAAGACACTGTAAGTTCAGCATTAAAGTTGCCCATAACCTTCTTGGTTTTGTTGTTCCTGATCCTATGAACGTTCAGGCTTGGCTGTCAAGTTAGTGCAACCCTTTGTTTTTAAGTAAAATCTATATCTGGTAAGAGGTAATATTTCTATACCAGAAAAAAATGTATATATGAAGAGAGGGAACAATCATTTTGCCTTGAAATCTTGAACACCCATTCCAGTCCCTTCCTGACAAATATCAGATGTTTATGTTTGAGCTTCATAAGACACTCCTTGTGAGGCCAGCCTTGAGAGCAGACTTCTCACAGGGAATTGGGGAAAAAAAGGTAAATAAAATTACTTTTGCCTGCACTATGCACCACGAATCAAGATTTAGGCTCTGATTCTTCTGCATATTCAGCCTTCCATTACTCACCTTCTAATTAAGTGTTAGAGCTGGGTTTTTTTCCCTTCTTTTTCAATATGTTCTCAGTGTTCTTTGTTTAAGTGTCTCCTTACAGAGGCAATGATAATTTCACAATACAGAGGAAAAACTAGGTGTCTGGCTCTGGCCTTCCTTAGGCTGCTGACATAAGCTGTCTTCACTCAGAAGAAGGAGAACTCTCAAACACATTTATTAAGTTCTTTCCAAAGTGCAGCAGGAGCCAAGCCAGCAAGTGACAAATTTATTGGTAGTGCTTGGGTGCGTCCATCGCTGCGCTTTTGTCTCCCCTCTGTACCCCTCATCCATATTCTGGTATCAGTCCTCTCCTTTATTTGGGCCTCCTTTTCAGTTCATAATATTTTTTTTTTCAGTTGTCTGTCTCCCGTCTTCTTTGCAGATCATTGCAGTGGTCATGGATGTGTTCACTGACCGGGACGTCTTCCGCGACATCGTGGACGCGGCGTACAAGCGCTGGATCCCCGTCTACATAATCCTAGATGAGGAGGGGGTGAAGCTCTTCCTGGAGATGTGCAGATGCCTTGACCTCAGTGACTTGCAGATACGGGTAAGGTGCTCAATACTGAAGCTTTATCTCCTGCAGGGCCTTTCTCAGTGGTAATGAATCTTGGAACAGGCAGACACGTCTCTTCCTTCCTACAAGTCTCATCACGGCACTTAGACAGAAGTTGGTGGAACATGGAGGGGTAAGAGAGTGGCTTGCTAATACAGAAGGAAAGATTTTGATCTTTTGGCTTTCACCTGAGACAGAAATCTGTGTTGTTTCTTGGCTCTTGTGACCTAAAAATTCCTGTTTGGAAAGAAAATTGAGGAAATTTCTGTGGGTCTCCTATGTGACAATTCAGAGTCCAGAGTAGCATGTTGGGTTCTCGTCTGCGTGGATCCCAGTTACAGAACACGTATACACTGTGAAATCAAGACTTTCCTATCTGGCAGTGGTCATTTGGGAATGAGTGAGCCTGTAGTCCTCCTTTCCCTGAGAACTTAAGGGACTGAGGGGCACAGAATCACAGTATCATTTAGGTTGGGAAAGACCTTTACGACCAAGTCCACCACTGAACCATGTCCCTCAGCACCTCATCTGCATGTCTTTTAAATACCTTCAGGAACGGTGACTTCACCACCTCCCTGGGCAGCCTGTTCCAGTGCTTGACAGCCCTTTCAGTGAAGAAGTTTTTCCTTTATCCAACATACTCCTCCTCAGTTCTGTATCAGAGTGTGCCTTCACATAGTGCCTCCAGCACAGTAGTCAGCCTAGCTTGGCTGGCAAGAAGCAGCCTCAGTAGGATCTCATTCCATTACATACAGGCTACAGTTCTGTGTGTTCACCATTGGTATTGTATTCCCTGCTTTTCCCCTGGTTTTTTAGTCGTTGTTTCTCCTACAGACCTGTTCAGAGTACTGAAAAAGTTGCTAGGTTGGAAACAACCTGTGGGAGGTCAGACTCGCCTCTCTTGTGATCCAACTGTTCTGAGCAGCAGGGGGGAAAGACTTTGTCATTTTGCCTAGGTGAAAGGCAGATCTTCCATAAACACTCAATTAATAGTTAAAAAAAAATCCACAGCCAAAACTCGGCAAGTTCTGAAGGTTATAGAGGCTCATATAAACCATTTTAGGAGAACCATCTTAAGTCTGGATGAAAATTGCTTGCATATATCTAACAGTGCTTCTATGAACTACCACTGCTCTGAGTTTCTGGACTTCATCAAAAAAGCCATCCAGCTAAGCAGCTTTCTCATCTTTCTTCAAAACAGAGATGGAAGTTTCTTTCCTCTGGTGTCTTTGAAAGCAAGACACAGGCATCATTCTGAGAGACCTATTTCAAGCTTCAGGGGCATTCTGTGGCCTAGGCTCAAGTCTCTTTGGTACAAACCTGTGATATCACAGCAGTAGTTCCATTTGCTTTGAGACCTGCTTCCCAGTACTTTCCTCACCGTGCCATCATGTGATGGAATGAAGCTTTCAGTGCTGCCTGTTGTAACTCCTGGACAGAATGAATGAAAAGATGCCCTGGCATTGTAGAAAAAGTTGTGATGCTACTGGAGAGGTGAGTTTGGTTTTGTCTTTACACAGTAAGAGGTCCTTTTCTGCTCTTCCTCTTCCCTCTTTCTCCATAGGTCTCTCCACAGACTTTGCACTCCAAAAGCAATCATCACAGTGACATTCTGTGGCAGTGACTAGGTCTTGCAGCAGCCTACTTGTGTTACTCTTCCAAAGAGGCTGAGTTCAAACCAATGCCATCAAAAGCAGGAGCAAACTCTTCTGTGTCCCTTCCATGCATGTCCCTCCTGTGCTTCCCTTCTCTCACAGTAGCCCTTGCTATGTTCATTAGGCTCCTTCAGCTAAAAGTAGTCTACATACAAGCTGAGCTGAAGGAAGTCCACTCAGAAGAACTTTTTAACATCCTAGTTGTTCAGTCTTCTGCAGAACTCCAGCCCCCAGAGTTCTTCATCTTTTCCCCTCTTTTTCCCAGCTGTCTTGTATTGTCTCTTAAATTCTCCTTAAGGTAGTTATATTCCTTTTCTGGTATGGCTAAGGCTTTAATTAATCTTGTTAAGGTCAATGCAGTTTATTCTTGTCTATGGAACTATGGAAGGACTGGGAAGAGTCTTCCTGTAAGGAGAAAGGGGTCATTTGCCTCTCAAGGAAGATGGCCTGTCAGCATCCTGCCCAAGGCTGCCTAGGATGTATCTGTGCTGCTGCTTGGGTCAGTGTGGCAGAAATCATCACACAGTGATTCCCCTGACACCAGGCTTTAGATACCCAAGGAATGTCAAGCAAGGTGAAGGCTTCCCCTTGAGCACTGGCCCCACCTCCATCTCACTGATGTAATGTGTTGAGGGTTGTTTTAAACTTTGAGTGTTAAAGACCCAGACTGAAAGCAAGAAAGCAAGCTAGACCTCTGGACTTGGTCAGGCAGAATCATTTTGTCCCACATGGCTTGATCACAGAGAATGCTGGACTTGCTGAGGAAGAATAAGAACCACTAGTGCAGTTAACTGTCATTCAACCATTTCTTATTTATGACATCTTTCTATGACATCTGCTTTGATGTCTTGAGTTTCTTCTACAGATTTTCAGCAACAGGGAAAAAAATTCTCTCCCTACACTGTCTTTTTGTATAACCATTTTGCTGTCTTCTGAAAGATTTTTACCAGTGTGCCACAGTTGGTCAGCAAATGAATTGCACACTCTTCCTGCCTGACCTTTCTTCCTTTTCCCCACCCTTTCTTCAGAATGTCTGTGCAAGATTTACAGGATGGCTTTTTCTCAGAAAGTTGCAACAACGTGGGATGTGACTTTAAGGTTTAGAGGCAAGTTCAGATCTTGAAAGAGAGAGAGAGAGGTGACACACTACCATGGGCTGTGCTGCTGCAGGGTCAGGGTGCTTATTCTGTCTTGTGCTACCACCAGATGCTCAGATTGTTCTGTAATTCCTGCCTTTTTGTTTCCATTGCCCTGTTCATCCATTGCAAAGCAAATACTTCAATGGTCCTTACAGAGGGAGATTTACTGCTAGCACTGGATTTTGTTCTCTGTCAGCATACAGTGCTGGGTTTTTCACAGAATTCTTGGCTATTGTATCATTTTGAGATGGCAAGGTATCATGATCTGCTGTCAGACTCACAGGAGGGAAGCTGCTGTAGGAAGACAGAACCTCACTCAGCAAAGGCAACAAGTTCTTAACTGACTGCAAGCATGAAATGAGAAAACCTCAAATTTTTGTCTGAAGGCCAGAGATCACTAGAGATGCATTTAAACTCAACCATCAGTACATTCATCCTGTGATGTTAGTAGGAGTGTGTCTGTTGTGGATGAGTCATGTGGCTTCCTGAGCTTACAGGACATGGTTTGCCAGACTTCTGTTATGTTTGACACATGAGTGTTCTGTGGAGGGCATAATGATTCAAAGTTCTCATAGACAAAAAAATTCATAGCCCCACAAAAAGTCTTCATTCTGTTGACCTGAGGGTGAGTCTTCTCACCAAATTTTGGATGAGTTTTCTTTCTCCCCATGCTTCTGCTAACCAAGGCCCCAGTAGCAGATGCTCTTGCACAAAGAGAGGGAGTTCAAGGAGAGCTCTGAGCAAGCCCAGAGAATTAGTTACCTGCAGGAAGGTCACCTTCATGTTAATTTTTATATTCATTTTCCCAACATGCAAGGAGTTTCACCTCTCACTCCAAGAATTCTTCAAAGTTTCTGTGTAAGAAATATTTAGAATTTCATTTTAGTATTTCCTATCTTTCCTCATCGATTCTGAACTCAAGTGAGGGAGAAGCTGAGTGTAATGTGAAGCAGAGCTGTTGGTTTTTTAATTACCTGTTAGACAGTTCTTTTAGGCTGCTTGTGACCTTTTGAAAATGGGAGCTTACAAGGCTCTCTTTTTGCAAGGACCCAAATAAACAATGCCCACTAATGACCTTGGCTGGCCAAGTCCAACTGGCTGCGTTACATCCTGTTATACTTGAATACTTGCAGGTTTTACTGTTTTGTCAACAAGCATTTCTTTTCCAAAACTGTTCAGGGCAAACACTTAGGGTAAGCCTACAGCATTTCCCAGCATTATTTGGTAGCTGCTTCCAGATTGTGGCTGCTTTTGTGTCTCTGTGTAAGATGAGCACCCTACCACCCATCTCACCAACCTGGAGGTCTGACCAGCAGAAATGAGAATTGTGCAGACTATGAAGAAGGAAAATTCTTTCAGCTGTTGTTACTGAGGTCCTGTCCACATGAATCCCATATTTCTCTTCCTCTTTTCCCCTTCTGTGCTTCCTCTACCTAGGATTTTAGAGAGGGAAGTAACCGGCATCTGGGGCCTGCACCTCACCCCTCTACTCAGGTGAAGCAGTAGAAGAAGAAAACAGGACAGGAGCTACCCCAGCAGGTTCTCTTGACTGAAGGGATCTGATTTTTTCCAGGCACAGCAGAAAGGGGAACTCCACAGTTTAAAAAACACAGTCAGTTAAGGGGCTGTTGAGTCATTGTCATCTCTCAGCTGCTGCTTTTGCCTGTTGCCTCTCCTTAATGGGTTCCATAGCTGTTAGATTATAGAGGTTGTTCATGCCATCCATCCCAACTTGAAATAAAGATCCCTGCTTGCTTTGCAACGTGTATGTCAGCAGTTGTTCTGAGAGGGAAGGTACACACAGGGTTCCTTGGTGGAAATCCTTCCAGCCCTTCCCTTTAGGGTCTGTCCTGTGCATCCACCCTACTCAACCCCAGCCTGTGATCAGTATGGCCCAAGTCTGCTGGGTGACAGCTAAGTGTCAGTCACAGCCTAGCCTGTTACTGACTCTCTAAACTGGGTCTAATGAACTTTCTGTGGATGCAGGGTGAGGTTTAGGAGCACGCTGCAGTAAAGGAAGGAGGACTGATGCCCTCACTGTCTGTGTTAGGATGCTCTGTCAGGCTTGACTGTTCACAGTCTGCATTAACTTGCAGCCAGGGAGACGTTAGTCACTGCTTGTGATGGGGAGTGGTGCAAGCCTGGGTAAAGGAAATGTGGAAATTCAATGCAGGCTGCAGCTTCCACGAGCCAGGATATGACAAACCTTAAGCAGACTTCTTCAAGAATAGAGATCTAGATAAAATATTGGTTGCCACTGTAACACTAGTGGCCCCCCAAATGGCTGCAATCTCACTCCACTTATGTTTGTCTTTCCTCTTTTTTTTGTGTAGTCTTCAGCATGTGAACCCAGGTTTGTTCCTCCTCTGTACAGTTAATATTTCAGTCTACAAATGCTCCAAGATCCTTTGAGGCAGAAAACATTATACAAATAACCTGTTAAATGACTCGATGTTTATAAGACTTCGTGCTTGCTTTCTGCATTTGAAGATGTGTTTATGTGCTCCTGTCCCTCTTTTGTTCAAGGAGGTTTATGTGCTCAGCTGTTTGGTTCTATCCCCTCTGCCTTTCTAAGTGTTACATGTAGCTCAGTTACTGCAGAAATTCAAGCATGTTGTCTTTCCAGGGAAGGCAGGTGATAGAACATACAAACACAGTAAAATCCACACTTGTTACATGCTAAGAAACTTTCTGGGCACACAGGCTGATACTCCTTGACTCACAAAGGGGCATGGCATGGCAGAGCTGTTGACTGATTTGAAGGAGGGAGCTTCTTCTCATCACTTGCAGTCAGTATTCCATGATTTAGCAAATCCCACATCCAGCTTTACTCAGCAAGGGAAAAATAATATCTTTCAGGTGATCAGTCAGCCAGCTACAAATGTTATTCTAAATCCTGGAAGAGGCACCCATTCTCCTGTGCTCTACCCAACCTGCATTCAGCATCCCACACACATGACTCACTGCTAGGCCCTGGGCAAGTCACTTCACCTTTTTCTCTCTCAGGCTCCACGTCTTTAAAACAGGGTAATAATACTTTCAGCAGTGTTGGGAGTGTTAATTAGCTTATGCCCACACAGGACTCCAGACAGATCAAGCAATAGATGAGTGCAAAACAGTAGTATCATCAGTTACTGTTAGTCAGAATTTGTACTGCCACTGCTGTATTTCAGTGAGAGAAACAGGAGCAGGTTCAAAAGGGAAGAGTTAGAGTCAGAAGAATGTTTTCTGAAAGAAATCTGCATTCTTATCATCGCTCAGCCCTGCATGCTGATTTCTATAGCCTATCAATATTTAAGCTGTCAGGGAGGTTTAAAATAACAGCACTTAGCTCTTTGTGGGATCCGAGGCTGTGCTGGCATTAGCCAAATCCTCCTGATTCTCCTGCTCTGCAGATGAGGGAAGAATAAGGCAAAGGTGAATTGGCTTTCACAGGGAGTAGTGTCAGAACTGTGATTACACTTGGGACCGACTCCCAGCCCTGGATTTATTCCTCCAGATCACAATACCTTTTAGCTTTTCATCGTTCAAGAATTCCTACAGAAACAGATGGTGGAATGAAGAAAACGGTCTAAATTTGTGTGTCAGAGTGACAAGATAATTTGCTCTACACTTATACTGACAATCAATGCTTTTGGGGGTTGGGGGGTGCTGTTTCATGTTAGGCAGTTTGGCAATTCAGCCTTATGCATCCAGGACCCATGAGCAGAATAATAACACTCAGCCCAATGTATTTTATGCAGCAGATGCATTCATACAGTAAGTGCAGGCACGTGTCTATTGTTGAAAGTCATGTAAACTTAAATCTGTGTTTTTTCTGTGCGTGGTAGTGCTTTGTTTTACTACTTGTAGGTTTGCTGGCCAAAGGGTGTGAGACAGGAGGTGTGGGGAGAGGTATCATCTTTTTCTGCTTCCATTCATTCAATGAAAAGTTCTTCCTTCCTCTTCTTCAGAAATTCTTTGTTGATCACTTCAGGACATCAGTAGAGACACTTACCCTTCTCCTTTTGTTCAAAAAAAGTTCTGTTTTTTTCCACTCTGAACAGTGAGGAACATGGTGGATACTGTCAGTGTTTGGGGTTCTTAGCAAAAAATATGAAGGTCAGGGTTCTCCTTTTGTTATAATAGACAGGAAGCATCTATCTTCTGAACAACAGACTTCTTTCCTCCCCTCTTCTGTAATAGTTATATTTGCCAGTCTTCTAATACACCCAGTTTTCTCAAGCCATATATTGGGCATCAGGAGAGAAGCACAAAGAGAACCTGCTGTAGACCTGCCTCATATGCTGCCCTCCATGTAACCATGTCCTTGGCACTGCTAAGGCATTGCAAAGTCCCTTCCCTTGGTTTTGTGGTCCTGCTAACGTGATCTGGAGAACTCCTGAGTGCCATGGAATAGGGATCAGGATTCAGAGTGCAGACATGACTCAGAGCTTCCTCTGAATCATTCCCCTGAACTAGGCTGGGCCTTCTCAGCTACACCACAGGACTGGAGGTGGAAGATTATTTGATTTTTGAAAGCCTTGTCTTGCCAGTGGGCCGAGATGAATAGCTGAAGGCAGCAGGCAGGGTTACAGAGATGCTGACCTGTTGGAGAGGGCTACGAACTGATGGAGGGGAGCGACTTGCACAGACAAGGGATGACAACGGGTCTTAGGGCACTGTGCTTTCCTTCCCACAGCCCCTCTGATTTCTGGTGGCTGATACAAAATGAGCTGTAGAAGAAGTGCTATAATGTGAGTGACATATTAAGACTCAGAGCTGGCAATTATCTCATTCTCTGCCCTATTTACTGTGACATTTTGTCTTTTCACCTCCTTGTTAGAATATCCGCATACGTTCCGTGACAGGAGTGGGGTTCTACATGCCAGCAGGGAAGATCAAAGGCACGTTGGCATCCCGATTCCTGATGGTGGATGGTGAGAAGGTGGCCACTGGATCATACAGGTGGGTCCCTCTTGCCTAAGGCAAAGGTATGTTTGTATGTAAAGAATGGCTTGTGGATTTGCTCGAGAGTCTTCTTCCCATTTCAGTCCCTTTCTTATCCCAACCTCTCCAATCTCTGTGGCACCTGTAGAAACTGGGGTGGGATGACAGAAAAAGTGGCATAGAGCACAAGCTGCTCCTGAGAGAAAGGAGCATGCCCATGCCAGTGATGCATTTCAGTGGGCTAGAGGTAGTGCCACACTGCAGCTGGTGGTGGTCTGCAAGGGCTCCCCACTGGTCACTGTGCTCAGTTCTTGTCAGTGAGGTTTTCCATCTGGCTTTCTTAAAAGCATAAATTGTCCTTCAGAGTTCTAGGGCCTTTTCTTCCAGGTCTGGCTTGCATGCCTAATGAGGAACAATAATAAAGAGCTTCATTTATCTGTCTGGGCCCATCTTGGCAAGGACATATGGGCAAATGGCACAATGCTGCATATTCCCACGTGATGTCTTAGATGATTGTTAGGTGGGCTGGGTCAAGTGTGCACACAATGATCTGATGTTGGTTGTGTTTCCTCCTCTTAGCTTCACATGGAGTTCATCCCACATCGACAGAAACATCCTGCTCGTCTTGACAGGACAACACGTGGAGATGTTTGACGTGGAGTTCCGTGAGCTGTATGCCATCTCAGAGGAAGTTAATTTCTACAAGGAGCTGGGTATTGCTAACCCCTTCCTCCTTGGGATTGGGAAGCCAGGCCTTCACTCCTCCACTGTGGCTCGGAAGTTCATTAACCCCAAGTATGGCTTAGTGGCAGGGGCCACCCGTGGTGATGTGATGCTCTGGGCTTCACGTCACAGGCAGGATAATCAGGGGAACATGGAAAAGGAGGAGACAAGCGAGTCAAAGAAACGATTAAATCAGTTTCTGAATGACTTAGTCACCTTGGAGCAAGAGTTCCCAGAGATTGACCCACCCCTGGAGAACTTGAACAAGCTGAATCGGAGCCCTCAGAAACTGTTATCCCGGCTCCACATGGACCTGAAAAATAAATCCAAATCTAGAGAGTCTATTCGTGACGTGAAGAAAGAAGATGCACAGGCCAACTCCAAGCAAGGAAAAAGGTTTGCCAGTGGGCTTTTCAGTCGCAAGGCCAAACGGTCTCCGGGCTCCAGCATTGAGGCCAATTCTTTTGCCAGTGAAGGACATTCAGGAGAAGACCTTGGGAACATGAAACTGGAATACGAGCGGCTCAGCATCGGCCACGCCAGTGTGCGGAGCACTGGAGCCATCTCAGGTAAAACCTCTCCCACCAGCATATTCTGTGTCCCTGGTTAGGAGTTTGGTGCAAACAAACTCAATCTAAGTGATCTACTCAATACCTGTGAGTAGATCCTGCTGTTTCTTCTGTATTAAAATTAGTGGGATCAAAGAAGAGTAGAAGTTGTATCAAACGACACAGGCAATGTGAAGGCAATTTAATGGCAGCCTTATTGTAAAGTTGGTATTTCTCATGCAGATATTTTCTCATCATTCTCAGCAAGCAGTTATGGGACAAAGGGAGAGGAAGGCCAGTGTCACCTTCTGCAAAACAGGTTCTGTGGACAGCTCATGAAGTGCACTGCTCTCACAAAGAGCAGCAGTATGTTCACTGTTGTAGCTGGCAAGGTGCAGACCTTTCCTCATTTGGGTGTAGTCAGGTGTGTTTACTGTCACAAGTTGCTGGTGGAGAAGACAGGAAGATGTGTTTGTGTTGAGGTGAGGGAGAAGGGAGCAGAGGGCAAGGTGGGAGTTGTTTTAGTTTGCTCCTTTAGCACGTTCTGAAATGGGGGAGAACATCTCAAAAATAGCTCTGGAGAACTGCTAAATCACAGCTGTTCTTTCTGTGCTAACACACGAGTGATATTTTCACTCTGTCCTTTCAAGGCATCATTGGATTGGAAACACAAATGATCAACATTTCTCCCAGTTTATGGGCTCATAGCTAACTTCCCAACATTTTAAATATTTTTTTTTCAGATCAGAGTAAATCTATGGACTTGTTCAGCCTGGTTGCATTCCTCTCTCAGTGAGCTGTTCTGGGTGTCAGTATGTCCTGTGCCAGCAGGAGAATAAACTAGTTCCAGTGAGAGAATTTCTCCTCCACTTGTCTGGCCAGAGACTACTCTGATGAATGTGAAATGCAGGTGTAGAGAGGCTGAATCCCTCTGAGAGTGCCATGGTGTCAAATAGAAAGACATTCCCCAGAGACCAAAAAGAAAAGCAAGGTATTGGGAAGGTCAGCAACAGTAATTGATTAGTTCTTAGAAATATTTCTGGCTGAATGAAGGACAGGCTCAGGAACACCGTGAACACAAGAGAGAGGAGCTGTAGGAAGGTATGGATAGTTTAGGTAAGACTATAGCAGACCCATTTTAGGATGTGCATTTGGGGAGGCAGAAATAAACCCTGGTCTAAAGAGGATCTCTCTAGATCGCTTTGTCTTGAGCACAGGCAGTATGTGCTGCTGGACTCCATCCCTCAGAGCCAGGAAAACCAAAATCGGTGAAGAGGCATAGGGAGAGGTATGGGCAGCTCCTCTCGGAGTGGAGCCGAGGGCTTGCACTACCCTCTAGTGACCGAAGTGGAGAGTTGTGTCACCGCTGATTCGGCAGCACCTCACAGAATCAGATTCCCTCCGTTTCTCAATGTCAGCTCTTTTAAAGCTGCCAGCCTGCCGTTCCTGCAGGGCCAGGATGGAAGTGGGCCCAGCTGAAGGCACAGAGGAGATGGATGTCTCTAGCTGAGCAGGGGGCACTGCACTCCTCTGGGGCATCAGGCAGCCAGGGCAGCAGGGGTGGCCCTGCTCCTTTTAGCACTGTGGCTCTCTGCCAGACAGTCTGATGCTTGGTCTGGACCATTTCCACAAAGACACTATCGTGCTATTATTTGAAGGTTTATTTATTGCCACTGCCACTTCCTGAGGGCTGCCACCTCTTTCAGTGGAGGGGAAGGAAGAGTTGAGAAGAGGTGCAGGGAAGGTGCAGAGGTCTTCACCAACCTTCCCACTGTGCTCTTCCTGACCTGATAAGTCTTTCCAAGGACCCCATGCAAATATTTTTTCATGTTCTACAACTTGAGACTGCCCATTTGTGGTGGCAAGGAAGGACTCCACAGCTTTTGAAGTATGGTTTAAGTAGACTTAGGTCAGCAGGTGCTGGAAAAGGCTAGGGGAAGATCACTTCTTGTGTGTTGCTTCTGAATTGAATCACTGTTCTTGAGAGAAAGCTGCTCTAGTCTAATGGTCCCAGAATGATATATGAATAGAGATGGTAGGGGGAACATTAGGAGGATGGAGACTCATGAGAAAGAGGAAAAAAAATGAGCTACCCAGAAAATTCTGCAGCTACTTGATGAGTAGCACGTTTCATTAGGATTTAATTAAAAATTTTTGAACATGGGCATGAGTTCCAGCCTCAAAATAAAAATGGGAGTCCCTTTGTTCTTGGACAACTGTAGGACTGACTTGGTTTTAAAAATTTTTAAGCAGGCCTAGTAAAAACTGATGCTGTGATACTCTGGGTGACAGAAGGGAGGTAAGAAATGGAAATGAAGAAGGGAGAAGGTGCTGGGTATGCAGTCAGGTTAGGATGCAATTATTCAGAGCTTCACAGTTTGAAATGGCTGCCCTTACCTTTTGTAAAGATTAAACATCACACTTAAGCCCTTTAGGCCTGCCTGTGCACTCATCCTCCAAAGTCACTATTAATTCTGCAGTGCCTCAGAGACCCATCCCACCTTGCAAGTGCATAAAGAGACCAGACCCACACCCTGGGTGGCTTGCAGAGTAATTGAAAGACATTATTCAATCAGATTAAAGGTCAGGGTCAGTCTTGTAAGAGCAGATGGTGATGAAGAGAATCTGAACTGGCAAGAGAAGTGCTCTAAGTGCATTCTGCAAGAGTCTGAAAATCTGACTCAGTATTTACATGCTAGAAAAGGATGACTGCAGGTCAGAAGTGGGAGTCTGGAAACTACGGGGGCTACAGATAGTCATGTTCCAATGCCCCAAACTAAGTGTGCAAATGAACACTCTGATGTGCTGCCCTAGCACACTGCACAGAGGCTATGCTTTATTTCACAAGGCTTTCTTAAACCACATCATCCCATGGACACAACTCTTGAACTTCACTGTTGCCTGCTTAGGAACAAAACGGCAGCAGCTCTGAACCTGACCAGAATCTTGTTAATTCTGAGCTGCTGCTGGGCACACTGAGATCAGCACAGACACTGATGTCTGTGTACAGTTCCTGGGGAGTACAGCAAGGCTTGGAAAGCTGTGTGCCTTCAGAAGGCACTGAGTTTTTATCTTCTGCCCTGCCAGGAGCAAAGTGGGTTTGTTCAGAAGGGTCTGTGATCCCTGAGCAGCTGCATACATCAGCATTCACTCCTCAGGGGTATGTGTTGCAGAACATATGTAATGAATAGCAGGATTTTTTTTCACTTTTGGGTGCTTCCTGCAACAAGAAATGGGATTTACCCTGGGCATTGCAATACCACAGAAATAGCTGCTTAATTAGCACGAGCATTTTTCAGCCAAAGGGGGATTATGGGTGGGTGGTAACTGGAGTTTTTAGCCTCTTTTCTAAAGAGAAGAGAGGAACGTTGCTGGGTACATACAAGGAGGGTGTTTGGTCTAACAGTAGTGGGATCTGTAGAAAAAGGTCAGAAGATGAGAGCAGAAAGTGAGAAGAATAAAGGAGTTGGGAGTTGAGTTTCAGCAGAGGAGCACAGACACTTTTGAGAGTAAGCATGAAGGTATTGATTGTGATGCAGACAGGGAGGGGAACAGGTGGTGAGCAGAGAGAGGTGATGATAAACTTAGTAGTAAAGTACATGATGGGTCAAAGCAGGGACAGGAGGTTGACTGAAATGCCATGGGGAGGTGTGGGGAGGAGGCAGCAGCATGCAGAGCAGCCACAGAAGTGAGGGCAGGTTGCAGTGCAGCCTCCCACGGGGATATCAAGCAGTTGCAGAGTGGAAGGAGGGGGAGGTGAGAGAGCTCTTCTCTTCCCCATCACCTGTGGGTGAGGAAAACTTTGATCAAATACCCACAAGCAAGACAGTGCCATGGAAAATTATTCACTTGAAGTCCAGTTCAGAGGCAGAGCTTGGGCTGAAAGCTCCCTCATTTTAGCAAGGCTGAGACTTCTCTGTAGTGTGTCCCCGTGGCAGATGTCCCTCCCTGTTCCCCCTCTGTTCTGGCCACTGGCTCCAGCTGCATGGAAGATGCACTGAGCTTCCTTCAGTACAAACACAGGGGTGGGGTCTGCTCCTCTCAGTACCTACTGCCCTGGGCTGTAGGTCATGTAGGCCTTACTGAGCTCAGAGCACACACAAGCTCCTTCCTTGCCAAAGCCTCTGCAAACACATTTTAGTGCAGTGCTTGAAAAAATAACACTGGGTCATCCAGACCAAGAGCTGGAATGAAGGAGATGAGACAGCAGCACAAGTGTTGGAAAGTACAGACACTGGGAGCAGAAGGGATCCACAGGGTAAGCAAAGAATAAAACTGAGATGATAAAAAATTGGGGCAGCAAACTGTGCTGCTTAAGTGAGAGACCCTGAGGCCTCAGGATTTGTTTTGCAGAGGAAATGATGGAAATACTGCCACTGGAGATGTCTAAAACGAGACGTGAAAACCCTCTACTGACAATGTGTGTGTGGATCAAATGGATTAGATGACAGGACTGGTTTTTTTTCTCATACCTCACTCTTGGGTAAAGCTCCCACCCAAGTCATGGCCACACTGTTTTTCAGTGCCAGCTGGGACCTGAGAATGCCATTGAAGCTGGCTTGGGTAGAGGCCAAAGCCTGGAAATACTTTTCCAGTGGTTTTCTTCACAGTACACTCTGAATTTGTATTTCTTCATTTCAGAGTAGTAGGAAATAAAACCAGGAGAGAGTGCAGGGTAATGTAGGTCTAGTAAATAGAGAGTATAGTAAATATAGAGAGAGGATTGAAGTATGAGTCCAAACTTTATCCAGGTCTTATTTGCTGAACATTAACATGGCTTTAACTTCTTGTCATTCCAGGTAACCTGGGTCCAAACTCCACCACGAGTGATAAAACCAAACAATCTGCCTGTGTGTTATCTTGATTAGGAAGGGCTGTCTGGAGAAGTGAAGACTGCACAAGCTGGAACAGTAACCTCTTGATTGATTCTGAACCTACAGCCACGTCCTCACGCAGTGCTCTGTAAAGCCACTGCCTGCTCCTGGATGCACTTGGCACCCCCAGTGAGAGAACATTTACTGGGTGAAGCGTTGGCTTTGGATGATTGGCTCCTTCCATGAGGGTTAGTGATGAATGTATTAGTCCATATGTCTGTGTGCACACATATTTTATATATAAAAGCAACTGTGATGACTGGTCTCAGAGCTCGCTCTGCGCCCAGGTAAATGCAGGAGATTTTCTGACTGACTTGTGCTGCTACTTCAGTCTGTCTAGCTACAGACTCAGAATCACTGTGTTGCATTGTTTACTGTACTGCACTGCAGAAGTACATTGGTCTGCCTGGCTGGAAGGCTAAAGCAAATCAAAGTGGCAAATTCTGGGTGAAATAAGGGTGTTTACAGACAGCGTAACAATCCTTTGTCCACACAGAGTCTCCCTGTAGGTTCCTGTTGTCACTTGTTGACACAGAAATGAGTGGTTTGGGGGCAGGGTTTAGCCAGCAGAGGCCAACAGATTAGTATCTTAACTGTTCCATATCACAGCAGTTGAACAAAGTGATTTAGCAAGAGTATAGTAAAGGGACAAAACAGAATACAGGGGGATGTTTAACCTGCAGTTGAGACTAGGTCAGAAGAAAGACCCTGTAAGGGGCACTGGGCAGGGTCTGGGAGCAGTAAGGCAGTGCTTGTTACAAACTCCTGCTTGTTGCTCATTCAGCAATACTTTACCACTCCTGGAAGCTGAACGATTAAGGGGCACATCTCTGAGGGTTGAAAGAGGAAGCAGAGGAGGCATACAAGCTTTTCAAATGCTCCTTTTTGTTGTTTTTTATTTTTTTTTAAGTTAACCTTTCCAAACTCTCAAGTCATGCCAAAACTGAGAGCTTTGATCCATAAGAAGCACAGTGTGCAGTCAGACCAAAGGCCATCTAATCTGCTATGCTCTCTCTGAGGATAGGCAGTAAGAGGTGATCACAGAAGCATAAAATATAAAAGCTTGTGTATGGAGCTCTTTCTTTCACACCGTTCCAGCAGGCTGTGGACCTTCTGAACTGGCAGCTCCTTCTGGACTTGACCTTAATGAATGCACTTAGTCCCTTTTAAAAAATCCTTTTCTGCTTTTGGCCTCCAGTGTTCTGTGCCCACGTACCCTGGGGTCTTTGTGTGGTATGAAGCAGAACTGTTGTCAGGTTGTTTCCTTTACGATTGCAAGTGACCCCAGTTATTCCACTATCAGATGCAGCTATAAGCACCCCTATTCCTTGTGTGCTTGCCACAGACCTATACCATTTATGGCCTCAGTCACCACTTTCTCCACGTTGCAGGTTCACGGTGTACGTAGCCACTCGTTCTGTGGGACCTGTTTGTCACCTCTGTCCTCTTGCTCACTGGCCCTTTTCCAGCCCTCCCCACTAACAGAGAGGAGAAGTGGGTTGGTTTTGTTGCTTCAGTGTGTGGACTGATGTTTCACTCTGCTTTCTTGCCATCTAAATTACATACTCTGCTGTCATAAATAAGCCCTCTTGTGATACCCAAGAAAAATAAATCCTAATTGTACGTAGGCACCTAAGAACTAACATACCTGCTCTCCAAAAAGCTATTCAGACATCTGAAAAACACAGGTTTAGTTTTCTTTCTTTTTGTTCAGAGAAACCACTTGGGTTTTGCACTGCTGAAGGAATTCACAGCAAAGGGAACCGCTGCTCTCCCAACACAAACCAAACTGTTCCAAAGACTCTTCTAGGTGCTGGGTTGCAGTAGGGGTTGTGACACTGAAACAGCTGTCTGTAGTTGATGATAATATGCAATTGATTTCTTGATTGATTAATTGATTAACTGCCTTTCCTGGAAGTGTATTTAACTTGAATGGCAAAGAGGTCTGCTTCACTCTTGAATTTACCTGAAGAATGTGGTGAGACCCTAAAATGCCCAAGGTACTGTGCCCTCTCATCCTCACTGGGTGGGTTAAGTGGTTGCTGCCCTGTGTGTGTCCTCAGTGTAGCCTTCTGGGCTCAAGCTGTACTGTTACATCTGGGTCTGTCAGCTCCTCTATCAGCAGTGTTTTATGCAGTTGTTCCTGGAAGGTGTTGGAAATGACACTGTTGCTTGGACACAGGGCTAACTTCATGCACGAGTTATCCTGTTGGCTTCAGGTGTATGGCTCAGGTGCCAAAAGCTACTTGCTCTATGTTTGCAGGATTCTCTAAAAGGCTTCATTTTGCCATAATTTAGTTATTCTCCAGATGTTTGGGAGATTTTCTTTCCTTTTATTTATTTCACTTTGTTAGCAGAGATCAGAGGTAAATTTATCAGGCCAACGTTGTCCAACTTTTTGTTCTGATAAGAACGTTGTCATCTGGTGCTTCCTTCTTTTCCCAGACTTTAAAGATATTTATTTATTTTTAAATTGTGCAATAGGCTAATTAACTAATTAGTACCATGTTGAGATATATATATATATGATCAGGTTTTCCAGGAAGTCCTCAATCTCTTTGTTTTTATGTCTTTGTTGCTTCATCATGGGTGAAGTGACCTCACAAATAGTCCAAGAAGCTGATTTCACTTGCTCTTCCTTGCCCTCTGTGCTCAGGTATTAATGTGCCTTACTTCCTCTTCCTATGATGGATGTGAGAGCACTTTTCTTGAACCCTGTCAACTAACAGAATCTCTTTTCTAGACAGTCTCTCTTCTGTTTGTCTTCTGTTTTGTTGCCACACCAGTCCCTGAAAGGTTGTGTCCACTTACTGCTTTTACCTTCCTTCCCCTGTCACAGAAGTCTCATGCCTTGACACCAGGGGCTGGTAGAATTCCTTAGGCTTATCATGCAGTGTTTAATTACTTAATTTGAGAGAGCAAACTTGCTTTCTTGCATGATATCAATCTGCATCTTAAATTCAGCATGACTGTTTGGGGATGCACGCGGCCTTGCTGATCCAGAGTGGATGTTTCAGACTCTGGTGGAACTTGTTCTTCCCTGCAGATAAGATCAGCTGAACTCGGGCTATGTGGCTGCTTCTGTGGCAAGAACTCTGAGTCTGGGTGAGGTGACCACATTTATTTTGACTCGTTTTGCTGACTGTGGTTCTTGATAAGTGCTAGAAACCTGAGACTGTGACCTGTAAAACTAATCTCCGTCGCTTCCCAGATAAAATGTGGTTGATGGTGCTGGGGGGCAGAGGGGTGAGGAGCAGTGGGTGTGAATTCTGTTGGAACTCTGCTAGCAGAGGCTGAAGGTCCAGCAATACCTACAGCAGTCTTCAAATAAGCTGTCATTTGGTTATTGCCCAAAATCCACCTCTTGCAACTGATCTCTCGGGGTGGGGGAAGGAAAGAAGGGAGACATTTGTTGTTCTGTTGCTATTTTAAAGAGCAAGATCAGTTCTCTTTGGCATCTCTGTCCTGACCCTGGACAATCCCAAGAGGATGCCTGTTCTCTGGGTCTCACTTACTCTTTGGCTCGTGAGCCCAGGTTTGCTGGTCTGGGCAGCGTCCCGGGGGCCACGCTCACAGTCCTGGTTTGGGATGGTGAGTACTGAAGCTGGGGCTCACAGCTTGCTCCTCCTGGAGTGAGGTGGTGAGTGGCTCTGAGTGAGCCCCTGGCTGGATGTGTCCCTGCTGGGCTTCTTTTGTATATTTAATGTGTATGTGTCCAGTGAGTGGTGCTGGAGACCTTTTCTAAGTCAAACAAATAAATTCTTTACTATGTTACATTCAGCTAGTTTGGTTCTTGGTGTTGCTTTTAGTTTCTCAGCTCCAGTTCCTGGGTTTGGGGGAATTTTATTGTTTGTTTGTCAACAACCTGCACTGTCTGGATTAGAGCACACAAACATCACACAAACATCTTTGGCAGTGCTTGTTAAAAGATGTGTGGGCAGCTAAATTCCCAACAAGTAGAGTGTCCTGTGGCTTTGAGTACCTTGAGACTAATTTCATCCCTGCTTTCTCATTGCTGTAGTAAGCTCTAGCAGCTGTCCACTTTAGTTTGTTTTTTTTTACTTATTTTTTTCCTACCACTCTGTGTGGCTGAACTGCATCTTCCTGCAGCTATAAATGCACCTGACAAAGTGTCACCCCTGGTTCCCTTTCCATCCTTCTCACGTAATTTGTCCCCATCAGCAATGACATTTCATTTATGAAACTGAGCCCCTCTACATTTCAGTTTTACCTGGTACAATGTAATCCTTGACATTTAAGTAACTCCCAAGCTCTTGTTTCCCGTGCTAGCTTTGTTTGTGTCTACAAAAGCCTGGTTTAAAATTCCTGACCATGTTTCAGAATAAATCCAGCCTCTATTTTACTTTTGGGCATTAAGTTACACGAAAATGTATTTGCAGTAAACAAAGTCTTCATCTTTTCCAGCGTTTAAAGGCCATGCAGCAATTGCATTCATGCCCCTTAAAAGGAGTCTGTCTTATCTAAGGTCATTGCACAGAGCATGTCAGGGTTCTGTGGATCCTCAGCCTCTTTCTTTATAGTGTTAACTCCACCAGCACTTTTTTTCTGCACTTGTTTTAGGGAGGTTCTCCAAGAAAATAAACTTTTCCTCCCCCTGGCTTCACTGCTACTTGAGCATTACACTTTTCTCTCATTTATTGACATGTTTGTGCTTGTTCAAAACTGGTGAGCAGTCCAGGAATAAATGACCTCTTTGTGTCCCTAGACCTTACCTCCCCTGTCCTTAGCCTGCTGAAGAAATGCAAATTTGGCAATCCTCATTAGTAAACAAGGCTTAGGAAAAGCACAGAGACTGTAGGAGTGTCTTGGAAGAGAAACCAAGGAGTGTAAATGGAATGCTCAGGCCTGGATGCAGGGAGCAAGGCTGGCAGGTGGTTACCCAGCTCTGCACAACACCTATTTCTGATCTTTCCTGCAAGTCTGGGCAGGTGCACTTGGGGAAGCAGGGTACAGAAAACCACAGCAGGAC